CATATCACTATTTGCTGGGTTTGCACAGAAGTTATCTCTACCAGACAAGTCCTTGCGCAATGTACCTTAGTTAGGATTTTTTATCGCGCATATCACAAACTTGTCAACGGTGGTCGTGAAAGTTACGATAATTGACTCACTTCTCGATGCAGGTGTACTTTCTTTGCTTCTGCACGGTGGTGCCTTCATTCCTAGTAAACTAAAGGGCAAATGGTAGACGTGAAACAAAAGAAAGAGATACCGTAATCAATTGTAATATTCAATGAGTTGTCAAATTAACATTGCAGGACAAACCTTTCAACCTTCTTCAGCTTATCCTCTTCGCTGAGATCCACAAACTCCTCTTTAGCGTCTTCTACAAAAAATCATCTCTGCCGTAGAATCGCAAAATAATATTTGTATCTCACGAATTTTCTTATACATCTCCAAATGCATTTTCTTCCGCTCATACTCCTGCTTACATCTTTCAAGACGTTTTTGAACAGCATCCAGCTCTTCTTTGGCTGCTACAAGATCATTATGCCTAAGAGATATATTTAACTCTGATGTTAAAATTATGATGTTATGATTAAATTTTCCCTGTTCCTGATACCATTTGGTAGAAAACACAGCCTTTCGCCAACGTGTCTGATAGAGACGAAGCGAATCTCTTAACAGTGGTGGCGCGGACTGAACTGACGACTTCCAAGGGAACCTACTTCTTTGAAAGATGCAAACACTTACCAAAACAATTTCCTCGATGTTCTTTTCGGCGGATAAATCAAAGCTGTCCAGAATATAATTAGCGCTAGAATGACAGATTATGTGGGTTCTTTGGACAAACTATTGCAAAACCCACTGCTGGCGAAGGCATCTATTGTAAGCGAAATGCTCGTAGAACGTTCTGCATTTGATGTTTAAAAGGCCAAGTTCACGCTCTAGTCGGTGGAGCTCCGGTGTGGCATAGCGCAAGAGTCCAACAGTAGCTGGAACAAAATTTTAAGGAATTCTTGAAATTTGACTCTTTAAAAGGTTTTGTCCCGTGTAGCGATAGTAGATATAGAATGATTTAATTTTAACAATATTGAGATGTAGCAGACTCGACGTAGATCTTTCAGTAAATTATGTCCCTAATTCATAGCATACATATTTGATTGGCGGAAAGCACCATGGACGCTCATGCCTTCTGGGCATTCATATTTCTCGTTTCTTGGACTTATTGTGTGTTGTGCAGCCACACTGCAAGTCCAAAAGTCTAGTTTAAAGTATGATAAAAAAAAAAGAGATTGACCTGGTGCAAATTAAATGGAGCACTCAGCTATAAAGTCT